ATCTTGGAGTACTTGCGTGTGGAGTCTGCGTCGGAGCTGCGCTGTCCCTTCCAGCTCCATCTCTACCTCCTCCTTCGTCTCCATCCTAACGGACCACCATCCCGGCGGGTCCGCCACACCGCCGCTTTCCACGCTATAAATTCTCGCAACCCCTTCCTCTCACTCTCTTTGATCTCGACTGCAAACTGCGCAAGCTATGCGCGAAGCCCGCGTCGTCGGAAAGGCTTGACGTGCCCCGTGGTGGGCGGAGTGACGGCGGGTGGCAGAGTTAGTGGTAGTCTTGGGGTAAGGCAGTCGGAGGGACTGAGCGGTGGTGGAGATCAGACACAACAGCGATTTCGTCAAAACGGACATTTTATATTTTTTGAACGAAATTGAAATTGTCATTTTTGAGATGATTCAGGTGCAAAAACCATTACAAATAGATGTTTGGTGTATGGGGTAAGGGGTACGGGGTAAGGTGTAAGGTGTACGGTGTAAGGGGTAAGGGGTAAGGTGTAAGGTGTGAGGTGAACGGGGTAAGGTGTAAGGGGTGAGGTGTAAGGGATATGTGGTAACTTGCAAGGGTCAAGTGGCATAGCGTATCGAGGAACATTTGACACCTTATATACATTGTTTTTGTCACAAACCATCTCGTGGCATCCGCCCCCCTCCAAATCATACTATGGATAATCACATACACACTACTCACGAGCCACTGTGTCCAAAGCCATTCAACGACGTATCGCGGGTATATCATCAGCGGTGAAAAAGAAAGGTGGAAGTTGGTCCGCCTCCAAATCATACTATGGATTATCACATACACACTACTCACGAGCCACTGTATCCAAAGCCATTCGACGACGTATCGCGGGTATATCATCAGCGGTGAAAAANCATACTATGGATTATCACATACACACTACTCACGAGCCACTGTATCCAAAGCCATTCGACGACGTATCGCGGGTATATCATCAGCGGTGAAAAAAAAAGGTGGAAGTTGGCCCCGTGCCAAAAGTGATGCGTACATGAGCACAAAGACCCCGCACTCATTCGTGTCATGTTGCTTCGGAATGCCCTCTACATTCCATATGTGATTGAATGGTTTCGTGTCCACCTCTTTGCCTTGCAATTTCGATCTTTCGAATATAAACTTTGCAAACCCGCCTGTCACTTTTCTTGCCAGCTCCATGTCGGGGTCCATGGAGTCGTAAAATTCGAATTTCCTCCGCCTGAAGTCAGCCACGACAAGGGTCCAGTGGTTCTTGTATTCGATATGGAAAGGAGCAATAATCAAGTCCATGTCACTTATGATAACGTTCTGATACCAGCGTTCTACCTCTCGGCCTCTATATCTTATTTCATTGTCGAAAAGTTTGACAAACAAAAATGAGCTCAGCACCGATACTCTAGGAATGCGACCCTTTCCTTCTCTAATAACTATCTCATTCTCCACGTCGCATTCCACGTGTTGTATTCTACACCAGTTGTCCAATGCTATGAGATTGAGGTAAAAGTTGATGACGTTGTCGTTTAACCACTAACGTTCTACAGCGAGTAAAATAAAATCGTTGCGAGTGAGTTGCAACACCTCGTTCATGTATACGTCGTGTGTGCTGGCTATGGGATACCTATTCCCGTATTCGCGGATGATACGCGACAAGGCTGCCGTCTCCCTCTTTGATAAAGACGAAGTTGCGAGATGCATTGTCCATCCTCTTTTGCACAATCTTGTATCAGTTGTTGTCATTTGCACTGCACACCACAAACATGAGGAAGACGACATTCACGCGGGTGGGGGGGGAGATGGGGAAAGGATGGTGAGTGCATGGCCAAACGCTTTGTGGGAGCTAATGCATGCAACGCATGTTTTCAATGTTTCTCTAATCATTTACTTGCATTGACGACATTCATGTATATAATCAATCATTTATTCATCGCACCTTGGCCACACTCATTGAATACGTCCGCATACACACATCCAAGTCGGAACGAGAGAGAGAGAGAGAGAGAGAGAGAGAGAGAGAGAGAGAGAGAGAGAGAGAGAGAGAGAGAG